ACGTCCACTCAATGATCTATAATATATAAAGCTGCATTACGGTGACTCACTGACTGATTGACACAGTTGTTCTCCCAGAAGGAGCGTCCGGGGGTCGAGACGATGTATGGGGGAAAATGTTCCTTTGGCTAGGGTGACCACGAGAAACCGAAATTTGGGAAAATCCAAGATGGCGGCTAACTTTTACAGTTTCGCTCGGATCGATTCCGTTCAAAGAGTGATTTGGCACGTCTCGGCGGGACCCAGAATATGGCGTAAAAACAAAAAATTAAAATCCAAGATGGCGGCGAAAAAATTGCCAAAAACTGGTTGAAAATGTCTAAAGTAAAAGTAGGCTAAGTTACTCCTTATTACATTAGCTCCCTGCCAATAAAGTCCCCTCAAAATTGGTCCAGCCATTTCAGAGATTCGCCGGAACAAACAGACAGACAGACAAAAATTGTAAAAAATGTTATTTTGGTATATGTACCGTATTTATATCCATAGGCATGTACTATAAAAACAGTTCCTTCAATATGACAAGCAGGCACTCTTGAACTTAGAATAAATATTTTTTAGTTCTCTTCCAAATTATTTGAGCGAGTTTTATTTTTTTCTGAACTCCTAGAGATATGAAAGTCTATTTCAGATTTTGATAGCCACTCTAAGTGTTTGTATGATTCTATAGGTCAAATTATTAATGCAACTGAAATGGCAAAAAAGCTGACAGCCCAGCTAATGCTAAATGATAATCATTGCCTTTATATGCCAGTAAATGAACAGCATCACGGATACCACATCATCAAGTGATTCCGTGTGAGAAGAAAACAGAGTATGTAGGTACAAAAGCCAGTCTGGGCGCTTAAGCGATAACTTTCAGACAACCTTTGTGTAGAGGAAAAGTTCTGTCTTTTCTCCTCTACTCAAAGTTTGTCCAGTGGTGGATGGTGCATGAGTGGAATAAAATAAACATAAAAAATAATAGTAATATATAAAATATATATATACATAATATAAATATACAATAATATAATATATTTTTTAATTAATTATTTCATTTCTTGAAATATAATGTAATTTGATTTTCAGGACGATTTAGACATTATGACACTGGACCATTCGATTAAAAAATTTAAAATTTGGAATAATGATGTCATTGTTCTATCTTCTAATACATCCATGTCGGAATCTGATATTATGGTAGGTATTAAGTTTGTCATAAGTATAAAGTTGGTTTTTAAATTGTAATATAAATACGTCTAATTATTACTTAGGCAATTACGATGCAATATTTTGTGTTTAGAAAATAGTAACCTAATCATGTTTGTAAACTAAAATTTATTTGTTTATGAAGATTTTTAAAATTATTTCTTGGAATTTAATTTTATTGTTAATAAAGACTAATTAAATAAGCTTTTGAAAACTTGATGGTGTTGCATTGTTTTATAACAAAGTATCCGTGATTAATTTTCATAGAAATTATATCTTTTGCGAGCAAATTGTAATCTTTTGATAATCGTAATTTTCAAAACATGAACATGAACAAAGGAACATAAACAAAATCTTCTAATTATTTTTCTATATTCTAGAATTCTAAATCGATGGAAGACAGCAATGATATCAATGTCCCAACTGTATGCAAGGAACCCACTTGTCAGCTAATTTCCCTTTGGAGGTTTCTCGGATTGACATGCATTCGGATGAGCCAAGTGTCAGGTGTGTCGCTGCCGTTACCACCCATCAGGGTACTTTGCTGGGTGGTAACAATTTGCAATGTGTAGTGATGTCGGCATGCGGTTTAATTTATTCGTATATTAAGGGCCAGGCTATTTTTACTACTGACGATATCGATTTTATTTTAAACATTGGAAATCATATATATTTAAATGTTGTTCTCCGTGACGCAGAACCTCGACTTATAGAACCAGAGGAAATGCCGACATCATTAGACATGGCACATTATAAAGTAGACTTACGTGTAGAATGGACAGATCAGGAATTGTATCCGTGCTACGAGTCACAATTAAGCAATGCGATAATAGATTTAGAAAATAAAATTCGCACGTTATTTCGTAGACACAATTCCGCAAATAGCGGCTTTCAATTCACCGGCCAAAATGCGACAGTGTCATTTTGGAAATCTAGCGGTAATATTCATACTCAACAGGTAGACGCGACTAGCTCGGATGGAATCTATTATTTGTTTGATTCTCACGCAGTAGATTCAAACCGTACGTACAGTCATCGCAGTGAAGAAAATCGGGCAAGACTGTTTCAAATTAATGGGCTTCATAACTTAGCCCAACTTTTATTATGTAATGCAGCACTAGATGGTCACCAGCGTGAATATGCAATTCACCATATCATGGTGACATCATATGTTCAAAATAATGAGGAACTATCTACTCAATCGGTGATTGTTGTAAATAATGATAAAAGGTTAGATACACCGGTACCTATGTCCTGTATTACTGTTCTTGAAGAAAATAGTAAAGTACATAATATAAAGCAATTGAAAAAATCAGGGCGGCCCTTAAATCTCAAACATGGACCAAAAAAATCAACAAAAGCTCCCATTTGGCAGCATCCATAAAGTACAATGCAACACATAAAAAAGTCCACCAAAATGCTGTTAAGCTATACACTATTATCCATCCAGAGATACACCGTAAAGCTGTGTCTCGCTACATAACAACAAATCCTGAAGTAAATCGTGAAGCAGTAGCTCGATATACTGAATCATACCCAGAGGTACACCGGGACGCTTCACAGCGCTATCGTGAAACTAATCGCGAGCAAATTAATGAATGTGATGCTATGTATAATCGGGTAAGAACCATAGAACCAATTTTAAGAAAAACAGGATTAATAGGCGAGAGATCAGGACAAGGGTTGGACTATATAGTATTATATTCACTTAAAAAGACTTCCTTGGTTGTTAATGATGTTTACAGCTGCCCAGAATGTAGTGCAAAGTTATTTTACGAAGAGAAGGGCAGAGCACAATGGTGCTGTGGAAAAGGACGATTTAATATTATGCATTTACCTCCACTTAGCGAACAATTTTATTCTAGCCAGAAATTCATAACGTACGCTCGAGCGTATAATAATCTGTTTGCTTTTAGTGCTTTGGGTGTTTCACATGGATATCAGCATCCAACGACAGGACTGAGTTTTATTAAAATTCAAGGGCGAACGTACCATAGAGTTTTTGATATGTCCTACACAGAATCCACAAATCCTATCGGACTTTATATTGACGATGGCGAAGAGCGAAAAAGATTGGCACAAAACCGTAATCTCGATCAGAACATTTTGCAGGAGATTACAATTTTTTTAAACACAGTCAGTCCTTTTATCGATTGTTTCAAACGACTCTCTAATGAACCCTCCACAGAGGCACGGCTTGTGTTCGAACGTACTTCTCGTGCCACACACGGAAATATTTTAGGCGATATGCCACGCGGCGATGAAATTGCGGCTATCATTAGTACCGACAGAGAGCAATATGTACCGAGAAGTATTTGTATATGGAAAATTGGAGAAAAAAAACCGCACACAGTCGACATCTTTAATCCATTATATGAAGTATTTCAATATCCATTACTTTATCCACACGGAGTTGTTGGATGGACAATAAATACTCTGGATAATCAGGGCCACATATTGTCACAAGTAAAATACTATAGATGTCTTCTGCTGTCGGAGTCCCGATTTTCGCAACTAGGTCGTCTATCAGAGGAATGGCTTGTAGACATGTACTGTAGAGTCGAGGAAGAACGGCTTCGCTATGTCGCTAATCTGCAGAAATATAATTGCCAAGGAGAACTTCGTCTCGCTCCTTTGGAAGAAATTGCTAGAGATGAAACTGTACAAGGAGAAGGCGGTGTGGTACCAGGTCGTGTATACTTACCAAATACGTTTACGGGTGGTCCACGTTACATGAAATGTAAATACATGGATGCGATTGCAATCGTTAATAGATTGGGAAAACCTTCGTATTTTTTAACGATTACATGTAATCCCAAGTGGAAGGAAATAGTAGTAAACACTTCCTCAAACAGTATCATGCCTTCAGCTTCTATTTGTGCCCGGGTATTTAATTTAAAACTGTCACAATTATTGAGAGATTTACGCAGCGGATCTTGGTTCGGTAAACTGATATATATTTTATATGTAATAGAGTTTCAGAAACGCGGTTTGCCACACGCGCATATATGCTTTCGCGTTGACGGCGGTGGACCGGTTCAGAATGTAGACATTGATAAAGTGGTACGTGCAGATATACCCGCTGAACACGAAGCGGATGGAAGATTGCGCACGCTGGTACTAAAACATATGGTTCATGGCCCATGTGGCATTAATCATCGTACTAATTTGCCGTGTTGGGATGCGGAAAAGCAAAAATGTACCAAACATTTTCCCAAAAAAGAAACCGACACCACCTACACTGATGAAAGAGGTTTTGTAGTATTAAAAAGGAATTCGTCGAACACAGCCAATATCTCATACCGAAATCGTAGTGTGACAGTTAACGACCTATGGGTAGTGCCATATAATGCGGCATTGCTATTAAAATATGATTGTCACATAAATCTAGAAATATCTTCAACGCGGAAAATCGTCAAGTATCTTTTTAAATATATGACAAAAGGCCCAGACGAAGCACGCGTAGCGATTGTTCCAGACGAACTTCGCAACAATGAAATAGAACAATATGTGACCAAACGATATATAGGTGCTTGCGATGCCGCATGGAGAACTTTCGAATTTGATCTCACAGCACGAGAACCTACCATAAAGCAGTTGACGGTACATCTAGAGGGACAGCATACTGTATTTTTCAGACGAGGTCAAGAATCTGAAGCTGTTGAGCGATCTAATTCTGATCTATTGAAATATTTCAATAGACCATCTGAAATAGAATTTGAGAACCTCACGTATCAGGACTTCTAAAGAATGTACAGATATTTTCAATTTGCGGAGGAAAATATTTCGTTACGAAAAGACAACGCAAAGAGATGGTTGCGAGATTATATTGGGTGGCACCGAACAGGGGCGAACAGTTCTATTTAAGAATGCTGTTGAGTTCTTTCCCGTGCCGTGGTTATGCCGACTTGCTAACTTTAGGTGGACCAAATTGTAAAACGTTCCAAGAGGCAGCTCGGGCAGTCGGTATTGCTAACGATGAAGAAGAATACGAGAAATGTATTCAAGAGGCGGCAGCATTTTATAATGGAAAAAAGCTTAGACACTTTTTCGTACTTTTAATTACCAATGGCGCCCCTGCAAGGATTTTGTGGGATAAATTCAAACATCTCATAAGTGAAGATATTTTGGAACGCCAACCAAACGATCAAGAAGATCGCGCGTATAACCAAGCGTTAAAGGAAATTGACCGACTCCTCCGCAAACATGGAAGTCGTCTTCAGGACCAAGGGCTGCCAGTTGTTCGAGACGACACAACAGAATTAGATAGAGAGCGAGTAGAATATAATAATGACAGTTTACGCGAATTCGTTACTCGATGGGTACCATTATTATCGCATGCACAGAAACGCGTATTCGATCACGTCTTAAAGTTATTAGCAACTGACCACTCTTGTGACGAGACACCTCGTACTTTATTTTTGGACGGTCCTTCAGGCACTGGTAAAACATTGTTGCTAAAAGTTATAGTAGCGTATGTACGGGGAATACTGAAAGCTGTTGCAATTTGTACTGCGAGTTCGGGAATAGCTGCACAGAATTACGAAGGCGGTTGCACAGCTCACAGTATGTTCCGATTACCATTAGAAGTGATCGATGACACGAGTCATTGGAGTTTAACCAATGGTACCCAGCGGGCTGAACTAATTCGCGAATCCTCCATTATTATATATGACGAAGCGCCAATTTCGCACAAGTATCTTGTACACATTCTTGACCGGTCACTGCAAGATTTGATGGGCTGCAGAAAAGCGTTCGGAGGAAAAATAATGATTTTCGCTGGTGACTAGGCAAATACCTCCAGTTGTGCCGAGTGCGAGATGTCAAAATGATATTATTCAAGCATCCCTCCAAACATCTTCTTTATGGCATGAAATGACCCAATTTTCTTTGACAGAAGCTCAAAGAACGCGCAACGACGAGGGATATTCAAATTTTTTGTTAAACCTCGGCTCCGGTGCCTGCGAATCACACACTTTTGGCATAGGCAGAAATATCCAAACACTAATTAGTTTACTGCATTTAAATGTGGTTTCCGAACTCGACCATTTGCATGACTTTGTTTTTCCTGGCGATGTGTTGTGCGATCCAGATGAATGCGCGAGTAAAGCAATATTATCCACTCATAACACTAATGTTAGTGATATAAACGCCCATATACTAGAACGCGTTGATGGCGAAATGATTCATTGCTACGGTGTTGATAGCGTAGATGTGGAACATGCCGACGAATTTCATCTGGGTCCCGATATGCTACACAAAGTACAAGCTAAGGGAGTGCCTGATTACGATCTGCGAATAAAAAAGGGCTGCGTCTGCATGATAGTAAGAAATCTCAGCTTTGTAGACCGACTCGTGAACGGTACTAAAGTAGTCGTTGTAGATGTATCGCCAAGACTGGTGACGGTTCGAAAACCGCATGACTCGGAGACTTATAGAATACCAAGGATTTCTTTCAAAGCACCCATTGAACCGGGAAGTCCTATTGAAATGTGTCGTCGACAATTTCCATTGCAAGTATGTTACGCGATGACTGTACATAAAAGTCAAGGACAGACCATAGATAGAGTAGGCGTAGATCTGCGGTCCGATGTGTTCAGCCATGGTCAACTGTATGTCGCCTTAGGTCGAGTACGGCATGCTGAGAACATTAAAATTTTAATTCCCAAAGAGCGAATCGTAAACGGTGTGCCATATGTAAAAAATGTAGTGATTGAAAATTTGTTGACTTAAGCTTAACACATTGACAGCAACAATTAGAACTCACTACCTACATACTTATATAACTTTGGTGGCGGCTTATTAGTTTTTTATGTTTTTATATAATATATTTATATACACTTACGTAGAGTAACGCTATTGCGATCGTTAAAAATGATAAGTTTCGAGCAGTTCAACTTCTTGTATTATAGAATTATATTAAAAAATAACACTCAAGATGTAATGCTTAGTCTTCAAGTATTTTTGACTATCGTAATCGTCCACCACTCTACTTGAAATTCACTCATTCACTATTGACACATTCGTACTCCTATGGAAGAGAGTTGTATATAAATATTAGAAATTAATTTAATTATCATACAAACTATTGAAATATTAATATTCTTATAATTAAAACAAATGTTATATATCGTATTAGACTTTATTAGAAACATATTTTTAAAATTTAATTACCACTTTATTCTTAGATAAATAGTCGATGTTCTCGTGTATATTGTAGATATGTCTTCATTGCCTCATTGTAAATAGATGTGAAGTATAAAACATTACATTATAATTTAAAGTCATTATTCTTAATAGAGTGGTATACTATTATCTACTATTTAATTCAATATTATCATTAGGAGGTACAATAAAATATTTATTCCTGCTTTATTATTATTGAACAATATTATAAAAAAAAATTCATAATAAATTGAAATGGTAAAAATAACAAAATATAAGTATTGTTTACCACTCTATTCTATAGTTCTAATACAGTGGATTATGCCAGTCTTTTTTCTTCTCTAAAATTTTAGAGCACTTGTATATAGTAGTACCTATGAACTTGGGAAAAGACTGGGACACCACTTTAAAAAAAACGCGATGTGATTGTACCTCTTGGGTGTCGTGGAAACCAATCTAATCGACACCCAAAAACATCTCTATTGTATATACAGTTTTAAGTTTATTAATAATATTTTTTGTTTGTTGCATAATATACCTGATGAGATTATTGGAAGATCAACAATGGAAACATTCGAGCACAGAAGTGTACAGAACAATGAAAAATCAATAGCAATTGCAATATCAGTCAGCTGTTACTAAATAATCTTAGTAACATTATGAAGACGTTAAAATTATAAACGAAGCTAACCACCATTATGGTCCACACAAAATATGTTATACATATTTTGTTATACACATTTTGTTGTTAAGTAAATATTATATAATAGAAGAACATCTGTTATACTAATAAAATTCAATTATATTCTATATTTTTTTTTATTAATTATCCTCATAACTGATTCACTCTTCAGTAAGGCCACAGGCCAGTAATATAATGTATAGAAAGGTAGGTTGTTAGGCTTTGTAAAATATAAAAAGTAAAGAAACTTAAAGTCAATAATTCTAAGTACGCTGAATGGTCAACATTAGGTATCAATATAAGTAGGGAAAATATGTATCAATTATATGATATTAGATCATATTTGCGTGATCCTATATTCTATGAATATGTCAAAAATTATTCAAAGTTATTCAAAAAAGTATGTAAGGCTGCCAAGGCACTTTATTTAAAGAATAAAATTAAGTTTTCTAAAAATAAAATAAAAACTACCTGGAATATAATAAATACTGAAACAGGTAACATTAAGTCGCGCCAGTCAGAATATGAGTTAAAAGCAGAAAATGGCGTTATTATTGATAATAATGAACTAGTTGCTCAAACTTTTGATAATTTCTTTTCAACAATACCTCTCAAAGCTACGGAAAATTTAAACTCGTCACCTAGTTTAGCTGAAACATTATTAAAAATACCATAAATCCTTGCGTTCATGACTTTACTTTTCATCATATCAGTTGCTCCTGTGTGATAAAGACGTTCAACGCTCTCAATCTAAAAGGAACTGAGGATATCTGGGGTATGTCAGTTAGAGTCATGAAAACTGTAATAAGTGAAGTTGCTTCACATTTAACTGAAATATTTAATATGAGCATTGATCAAGGTATTTTTCCAGATCTAATGAAAGTGAGTAAAATAATACCGCTATTTAAATCTGGTGACAAAGACAATATATCAAATTTTAGACCTATCTCAATTTTACCAGTATTTAGTAAGATTTTTGAAAAGATACTACTTACACAAATGTTAGCTCATTTTAATACACATGATTTATTTCATAAACAGCAATTTGGATTTATGAGTGGACGGTCTACTACTGATGCAGGCATTAACTTAATACAAAGTATTTTCGGTGCCTGGGAAGATTCACAGGATGCCATTGGTGTCTTCTGTGATCTCTCTAAAGCGTTTGATTGCGTTGACCATAGGATATTATTACGCAAACTAGAGCATTATGGAATTAGAGAAAAATCCTCAGAACTCATTGGATCATATTTGCGCGATAGAATTCAAGTGGTAGACATTAAAGGAAGCAAGTCCAAGGGGTCATTTATAAAAATGGGTGTACCCCAGGGTTCTATACTTGGCCCATTTCTTTTTCTTGTTTATATAAATGACTTACCATACCAGTTTCAAAACATACTTGACATAGTATTGTTTGCTGATGACACATCACTTATTTTCAAAGTGAAAAGAAATACAAAGGATTTTAATAATATAAATATTGCTCTTGAGGATGTTCTAAACTGGTTTACATCAAATAATCTAGCGCTTAATTCAATGAAAACAAAATGTGTTAAATTCTCTTTACCAAATGTAAAACAAGTAACGACAACTGTTAGTATGAATCATCATGTTTTGGACTTTGTTGATGAGACTTCGTTTCTTGGTATTGTTATAGATAATAAATTGCAGTGGGGTCCACATATATTCACACTAGCCAAAAGACTAAGCTCGGCTGCTTTTGCTATCAGAAAAATTAGACAGTTGACTGATACTGCAACAGCGAAACTAGTGTATTTTAGTTACTTCCATAGTATAATGTCGTATGGTATTATATTGTGGGGAAGAGCGGCTGATGTAGAATCAATTTTTATATTACAAAAAAGAGCAATTCGTTCAATTTATAATTTACCGTGTCGCGAATCTCTTAGAGAACGCTTTAAAGAAACAGGTATTCTTACTGTTCCCTCTCAATATATATATGAAAATATTATGTATGTACGCAAAAACTTAAATTTATTTCCAAAAAATAGTCACTTACACGCTTTTAATACAAGGAATAAAAATAAATTAAATATGCCTAGTTATCGTCTCAAAAAAGTAAGTACATCTTTCATGGGACATTGTATACGTTTTTATAATAAATTGCCAGATAGTGTTTTAAATTTAAGTGAAGCCAAATTTAAGATACATGTAAAAAAAAACTTTGCTCTAAAGCTTATTATAAAATAAACGACTACTTAAATGACTACAATGTGTGGACTTAATTACAATTTTAACTTTTGTTATGAGGCATATAATTTTTCCCATTGACATGGATAATGTAATAACAATAAAGAAACTTATTATAAATTTTGTAATGACATATTGTAAATTAAATAATGTAAATTTAATATTGTAATGGGTGAAAACTGTGATCGGTACAGCCTATGCTGTAAATAATATAATTGACGTAGTGGAGTAACCTGAAACAGTCATGCTCGCTATAAAGTTCAAACTTGTGGCGGCGTGTTGGGCCGGGTCGATGTGCTCCCTCAAATATGGTTGAGTACAATGATGGCTGGCTCATACGTCATACTCGTGAACGGGTGCTGCTTGTGGGGACTGGTCTGTTCAGGTTGTGAACACTGATTAAATTTTTGTTCTTTGCGATAGCATATGCTGGTGGTCACTCTATTCTCCCAAATTTGAATTTTAATAACTGTATTTATCATAAACATGTTCCACTATTATTTGAAAAAAATTACGAGCTGAGTTTCTTGTCAGTTCTTCTCATCTCGATATCATTCCGAACTGACGGTAGATTTGACATATCATAAGAGTCTGTAATAGACCTACATGAATAAAGATATTTTGAATTTGAATTGAATTTGAATTTGAATAAAAAATGGGTTATGTTCAGTTTTATGACCTCTACATTTGAAATTGTAACCCCGTTGTATAGTATTTATGTAGTCGGTTAGGTTAGGTTTTGTATTATGATCTCTACATTAAAAACTTTGACCCCAGACTAATGTAGTATACAGAGAGATAGGTTCGGTTAGGTTTTGTATTGTGACCATTACAATACAAAGTTTCGCCACAGGATGGTACACGTGAAACAAAAATTCACTGTTACAATAGGAAGTCACCTAATAGTATCAAAACAGACAACTCTACTTGCCAACCAAGTCTATTCGAAAAGAAAACCGTCTTCACAAAAAAAATCAACGACAACGCCTCGCGGGCCTCTTGAGGCCCGCGCACACACGCACCCTCTAGTCATATTAATAAGATTGGTATAACGCTCACATTCAATCAACATGACAGAAAACGTAATGAAAGAATTCGAGGACTGCAAACTGAGTCTACAAATAGAATAACTTTGCAGACTCTGCATTCTAGTCGGAGAAGCTCAATATATAGTAGAGTAGCGCAGAGGCGCGAGTATTCACCATTTATACGGATGACAAACCGGATCACATATGCATTTCATACGAGGAAAGACAAATGCTCACAAAGTCACTTCCGTCACCTTGACTTCATATCTCAATTTACTACTGATATACAACACATGCTGTCATCGCAGTATAATTCTGTGGGTGTCTTCTGAGAGTCGCTGTGACGCAGATCTTGCGTCACATCGACTCTCAGAAGACAAGTATATATTTAATGACAGCCTCGACTCTCTTAACCACTCAAGTGCCAATGTAACAGCAAAATTGGTTGGAGAGCAGTTTACATGGGCGAACCCTCCACTTAGTTTGGCGTGTGGATGGGGCCAACGTTAACTACTGGGCCTGCCTTACTTTCCGTTACCATCAAGTAGATTGCAACAATCTGAAAATAGTATTAATAATAGAACTGACAAAGGTATCATTGAATCGTTAACCAATTTGAAATCCCTTGTGTACGTTGTGGCAACAAA